GGCAACTAATACCAGGTAGCTCCAACTAGCACCGTCATCATCCTTTGTGTTTACTCACTATAAATGCTATTCAAGCTACTCAAAGAGGAATATGTTTGGCAGGAATTGCTTCGTAATAAGTACCTACACCTAAAGACACTATCCCAGGTGACGGCTAAACCAACAAAATTGCCCTTTTGCAAGGTTCAATTGAGGGTGAATGTTGATTTATTTAGCTGAGGAGATTCCATAATAGGTAACAGTCAAACTGAACAATTTTGGGAAGATACTTGGATAGGGATGCTCACGTAGGCCTTAAATACCCAAACCATTATACCATTAAGTAGCGAAAGAACATGTTTGTGGCTTCTGTGTGAGAGGTGCATATGTTGAATATTCTGTTTCAACAAGCACTTATTGGGGATAAGTGGTGGGTTCATTTGCTCCAAATGTTGATGCCGGAAACCCTCCCGCTGGATGAAGACTCTTTCCGGTGGAAGCTCACCAATTTGGGCGCTTCTCTGTTAAGTTTGCATATGTTCGTATTATAAAATTTGGATCGACCTTAAAAACCAAATATTTCTTAAGTCGATGGCCTCATTAAAGATAAAGATTTGTATGTGGTTCCTATACAAAGGTGTATTTTCTAACCAAAGTAAAACTAGTTACATGTTTTTAAAAGTGTGTAAAAATTTTATTTAAAAAACATGATTTTTGAAAGTTCATTGTGTATTGAATAAATGTGCACGGCATATTAAAAAATTAATGTGTATTGAATTTTTTTATCATATTTTAAAAAATGTTCCATGTGTATTTTAAAAAATCATCGTGTGTTTGAAAATTGCTCATCGGGTATCAAAAATGTTCAACATATTTTGCAAAAGGCATTCACCGTATATTAGAAAAATGTTCACGTGTAAAAATGCCCTCAAAATATATTAAACGAGAATACAAAAATTCGCCGTGTTTAAAAAATGTTCAATGTGAATTTTCAAAAAGCTTTGAAAACGAAATGCAAATATAAATTATTCGCAAGAGAAAATGTGATAAAAGAAAAAAAGGGAGACGTAAAAACAAAAACCGGAGTGAAAAACCAAATCGGAAACAGAAAAAACACCAAGAAAACGATGTACTGCAAGAAAGCCCCCCGACTGGGCCGGCCCGATTTTCATCACTGTCGGCGTGCCACACATGCGTGCATGTTGGAGCACGTGAACGGCGCGACAGTATCTTGGCAGGTTTGCGTGTGTGATTTGATCCTCATATGCCATCCGATATCTTAAAGCCCAAGATGATCTCCCCTGGCTTTGTGTTGGAGACTTTAATGACATTCTTGTTAGATCGGAGCAACTGGGGGACAACAAAGGAACTTTGCGCAAATGCAAGCCTTCAACGAGTGCCTAACCGACTGCGGTTTGGCTGATTTGGACTTCTCCGGATATCGATACACATGGGACAACAGACAGGATAACGGTGACAACATACAAGTGCGGCTCGATCGAGCAACGTGTACAGGTGGTTTTATGGGTTATTCCCGGGGACGGAGGTAGAGAACATTGTTACAGAGGAGTCTGACCACATGGCGTTGGTGGTGCGGGTGAAGGACTTGGCGACTAAGAAACCGAGAGGGGACCGCCCCTTCAGGTTTGAGGAGATGTGGTTGAGGCATGAAGACTATGATGCAATGTTCCAGCGAGTATGGGGACAGGTACAGGGGCAACAAAAGTCGCCAGGGGCTTTTTGTGAACGGATACATGAAATAACAAGAGAGATGCAGAGGTGGGGGCGATCAGTATTTGGCTCGGTGCGTAAACAAATCCAGCGACTGAAAAAACAGCTTCTTGATGCGAAAGAAAGGGCGTTGATCACTGGATTAACTGCCGAGGTTAGAGACATCGAGAGCCAGCTCAGGGAGGTCTATGAAAGGGAGGAAATTATGCAACGACAGAGATCACATATGGACTGGCTTAAAGCTGGGGACCGAAACACGCAATATTTTCATAATCGCGCTTCACATAGGAAGAGGAAGAACACGGTTAAGGCCCTGGTGCGTGAGAATGGGACAAGATGTGTCAACGACGAGGGAATGAGAGAGTTGGCAGCAACTTTTTATGAGAAACTGTTTACCTCGGAAGGATCGGTCAATGCGGAGGAGCTCTTGCAACACTTTGTCCCGGCGATCTCTGAGGACATGAATGACAGATTAACGGCGCCGATTTCGGATGAGATCGAGCGGGCCCTGTTTCAAATGGGTCCAAAGAAGGCGCCGGGACTGGATGGCTTGTCGGCCCTGTTTTATCAAAGACATTGGTCTTTGATAAAAACAGATGTGTGTGCGGTGGTTCGAGGATTTTTGGCGGGGGAGAATACTCCGGAGTGCTTCAACGACACGGTTATTGTGATGATTCCAAAAATAAACGCATCGGAGTTGCTCTCTCAGTTTAGGCCCATTAGCCTTTGTAATGTGTTATACAAGATTGCTACCAAGGTACTTGCTAACAGACTTAAAGTGATTCTTCCGTTGTTAATCTCTGAGGAGCAGAGTGCTTTTGTACCGGGGCGTCTGATGACAGACAATGTGCTGGTGGCTTATGAGTGCACACATGCCATTAGAATGAGGAAGAGGAAGACACCGCTATGTGCTGTGAAGCTGGATATGATAAAGGCGTATGACCGTGTGGAGTGGATCTTCCTTGAGCAGGTGCTTGCCAGACTTGGGTTCAACCATGTTTGGATCCAAATGATTATGAGGTGTGTGACTTCTGCAAGGTTTTCTGTCAAACTAAATGGTGGATTCTCGAGATGTTTTCTCCCTTCCAGGGGATTACGACAGGGTGACCCGCTCTCTCCATATATATTCTTATTTTCTGTAGAGGTTTCTCTGCGTTGCTCAGGGCTGCACAACACGAGAACAGGCTGAGAGGTGTTGCATTTGGGGGCACTGGCCCTCATATCACTCATCTCCTTTTCGCCGATGACAGCATTGTGTTTCTGGAAGGCAACCGTGGGAATTTTGAAGCTCTAAGGGACATCCTTAGGGTCTATGAGGAAGCATCAGGACAGAAAGTAAACTTGCAGAAGTCTTCAGTATTTTTTGGGAAGGGATGTGGAGATGTGAGGAAAGCCGAACTACTTAGTGCTATTGGGATTACTACTAACGCTCAATGAAAGATATTTGGGTCTACCGACACTGGTTGGTAGATCAAAGGATGGAACGTTCAAATATGTGAAAGAGAGTTCAGCTCGTAAATTTTCAGGATGGAAGGGACAAGGTTTGTCCAAGGCAGCAAGAGAGGTGCTGGTCAAGTCTAACCTACAAGCTACACCAACACTCACCATGAGTTGCTTCCAACTCACCAAGAAAATGTGTCGGAACCTGACTTCAATCTTGTCTAACTTCTGGTGGGGAGAAGCGAATGGGGAGCGAAAGGTGCAGTGGTTGGCGTGGACTAAAATGTGCAAGGCCAAGCGAGAGGGTGGAATGGGTTTTCGGGACCCCGAAGCTTTCAACCAAGCTCTACTGGCAAAACAGGCTTGGCGTGTCCTACAGTTGCCATCTTCCCTGTGTGCTAGGGTGCTCAAGGCCAGGTACTTTCTGGATAGGTCGATCATGAATGCCACTTGCCCCAATGGGGGCTCATTCACCTTTAGGAGCATCATACATGGCCGCGAGCTGTTGAGAGCAGGATGTGTTTGGAGAATTGGAGATGGTACTTCTGTCAAGATTCATCATGACAATTGGATACCACGTCAAGGGAGCTTACAACCACTAGGGCAGCTGTTGGGGAACGTAGCAGAAATTCAAAATTTTCTACGCATCACCAAGATCAATCTATGGAGAGACTAGCAACAAGAGAGAGAGGTAGTGCATCTTCATACCCTTGAAGATCGCTAAGCGGAAGCGTTGCAAGAACGCGGATGAGGTAGTCGTACTCATGGCGATTCAGATCGCGGTCGATTCCGATCTAAGCGCCGAACAACGGTGCCTCCGCGTTC